AGTTATTAGGATTCAACGTCATTACAGAGTACACTACTCTTTAATGCTGCTACCATAGTACTTCAGGCAGATGGATAATATCCTTGACAGAAACTATGGTCTTTTGATAACTACTATCAAGATCTGACTCTCTATCAGTCCCAAACAGACCAATGAGGTATTGGCTTTTGTGTACTATCAACACTTGCAAATAACGATAATACTAACTAATCCAACATTCACTGAATGCTGAAATATAACGTAATCACTGAAATGCGTATCCGTGCTGTGCACAATCAAGTGAGATTATCTGTCCTTTTACAAATGTTCATTAGGAATCTAGTATATAGCGTTTTCACTTAGTAGGTGAGTATTGAGCTTAAGGGCGTAGTTTTCGTTGAATACTTCATTTTAAGAACGTGCATTTGAGAATATTTGTCTGCTGTGAACAAGTCGGTATAGAATATTTCATCATGTCAGGTTAAAAACCAAATGAAATGCGAGTTAGAACGTGAAATGAAATCCTCAGTGAAAACGTCTCTGTTACATGTCCAACAATGCTTGATACTACAAAAATTTGGAACACATAAAACCGGATCAATAGTCGCCCCCTCTAAAGTCAGCACCATCGTTTCAAACAAGCGTCTTAGATCTGAAATCGTCATCTAAAACCTGACTGCCTGACTGGTAAATTATACTTACTTTTACTTGCGTTCGCTTGCCTAGTGTTTTTATGGTGTATATGGGGTGCAGGAAATGCCTAAACAAATTATAGTTGTGATACATAGCCAGCCGAATAGATTTTGCGTTGTTGATACAATGATCCTTGTTTCTAGACAGTGAGTTCTTAGATGGTCTGAATGTAGAGTTAACTATTTGAGTTGGAGAAAATTATTTACTTCAAGTATATTTGCTTTATGGTATTGTCTGAGGGCTTTAGTTTCGTTTTGCTCAAAACAAACGAATTTTATACCTCTTGAGTGTATTTTCACTTCACTGGGCTGAAACGAATAAAGACTTGAAGGATTGGACATTCGGCTCGGACTGATAAGCACAGAATCCAATGAATACATTTGATTACTAATTAACATCTATAGACATGATTATACTATGCTGTGAAGCTTTACCTTTCAAAGATATAACTGCCGAACCAGTTTCACAAGCTATTTTAGTTGAGCAGTGCATTACAAATCATGATTCCTTGTAAACGTTTTCGACCGACTGAGTTTAGACATAACTGTTCCAATCACATTCCCAGTCATGTCATATTTTTTGTTTAAACCGTTTTATGTTATCATATACACATCTTTGGGGGTTGTGATTCGATGACACATCCATCAACAAATTGACGGAAACAGTCTTTTTAGAAAACCAAAAAACTCACTGGAGGTAACGGATCCCCATAATATCTCTTAAAAGGACAACCGATTACGTTCATCTGTAAACAATTTAATTAAGTCCGAATAATTAGTAGTGCAAAAATATTCCCATGACTTTTCAAAACATATTCTAGCAGATAAAAACTGACGACCACACAAATAAGTTATTGTACTGTGATCAGAATGAAGCGCGTAGCTAGACACTGAGCACTTATCATTTCATATAAACACCATATAATTATACAGTATTGCTACTCGATGCATTAAACAACGTTAGAATAAGATCGCTCTTTAATGTGGACAGTGATTGGTTGGAAATGTTTTCATGTCAAATTATAAGAGTGATGCAACTCGGAAACTGGAGGCTGAGGCAAATTGCATTAGAGAATGATACTGACTATAAAATTAATGAAACCAAAATGTTGGTTTAATGACACATCAATTTTTGATATAGAATAGTTCAGTTAAGTAGAAGTTACAAATGTAAATTTAAGTAAATTTATGTCAATATAGGTGATTTTAAATTCAAGTAACAGAAAGAAACAAGGAAGCAACAAAATGTAGCTGGAAAGAAAATGAAATCTGTAATAAAATAATTGTATATTCGTGTTACCGCGAACAGTAGAAATTTGGATTGTTGACATTTCTAATTAAATGTAAGCCACTTTGTCAAAACAAATAAATTAGTTTACAAATTATTTTATGTCAACTCAGTATGTGGCAGCCATTTCACTAAATGAATCAATGAGCTAATGATGAGAAATAATTATTCGACTGACAAGTAATTGAGAATTATGAAGAAACCGTTTTTAAGCCTCATAAGAATTTTGAGTTTAGATTCAGAATTAACTCACGAAAATATTTAGTACTTTATGTGCAGATTATAAGGAATTTATTAAAACAACGGGAAGACAAAAGATTAGGTGATCAATATAGCATACAGTACGTGTATTCTTACTTCGAAACGAGAAACATACTTCTTACTAATGCTAGCTAAAATATACGATAAAGCACAAATAAATTATTCATTTCACAACATGTAAAGATAAAAAAAATCTGAAGAATTCCACAGGCGGCATGTGATTTGAAGATGCTTAGTGAAAATCAATGTACCACAAACATTATCGATAATTCGAAAAACGTGTATTGAATTCAATACAATTAACATAAGTTAATTTACAATCAGGGTAAAAAAGAATAATAAGTATAAGGAAGAGATTTCGAATATAGTTAGAAATCAGAAATAGCATACAGAAGTCTAAAATAAATATATTAGAGACCATCGGGATGAAGAAAATTGGAAAGATTTAGATAAGCTTTCTGTGCTTAATTATCAATTACACAAGTGGAAAATGTAAAATAACGTTGAAAAATTATCTTATGCTTTCTAAAGCTGTTTAATCCATAAATTTAATTACTCTAGAATATCAGTAATAAATATTAAAATATGTGATTAAATGACTTTACTTAAAAAGATTATGTTTCGTAACAGCAAAATTCAGTATTCCTATTCAGATATCAAGAATACAAAAATACAGCTTGACTATTCAAATAAAAAGGATTACAAATAAGTTGATGAAGCTGTAAATTAACATCGACTGAGGTATTTAGAACTTATATTGCTTTTGACTATCTTCTGCCTACATCTATAATCAATGTTGGCTGTGATAGGATCATGGTAGGAGAACGCTAGGTCGAAAGAATCAAGACGTATTACCTGTTCCATATTTCTTTGTCTAATAGTCAAGACCATAATGATAGCTGCAGATCGCACAACTGAGGCCAACGTGATGACATAAATCAAAATCAGTTATAAGGGCCAAAAGCAACTCACCTTGATTCTCAACTCAAACTTTGATTTGAAAAATTTTTCATTCCTTCCTTCTTTCAATTACTTCAATTTAAATCATATCTTCCATATTACGGCTAAAACTATTCTGATTTTGGTGTTTTCCCTATTCAGCAGTTGAATCACTTATTGTTATTGTTGTTATCGTATTTGGTTTAACATGAATTCACGCTTACTACTTTATTTAGGCAGCAAATCTCGACCTAAGGCCTCCTTGTAGAGCTGATGGGTGGTAGGGACAACCTTGTTAACCAACTTGGGCATGTATGTCATGAAATGCAGGGACGAAACCCCTTGTACAAGTAATATTAATATAATATGTAAGTGACAGACAGTAGTAGAAAATACGTTTGAAAGAGAACGGCGGTCATCTATTGTCGCGGATGGGTGAATATATCTACATATATACTATGGGAAGCATAAATGAAACCTTATGTGTTACAGGCATGTATATAGACTATGTTTGCCCAGGGTGAGTATACATTACTTGTCCTATCGTGCGACGCCAAGGGGTAACATTTACACCACGCATTCATATTCATGCGGTGGGTTTGTGTACCTTGAAAACATGGAATCCACTTTAAGAAAATCCATAGTAACTTTACTAGATAATGCTTGACCAACTTCAAATGTCTGGAACACCATCACCTACTGTAATTAGGTAACTAAATGATAAATTAAATGTAAACTTTGTGTTGATGGTTTAGTGAGAAAGAGGTTTTTTTCAACAGTCTATAAACAAATACAAAATGGGTTCTCTTTACTCAGATTTAAGCAACTACTAAGTATCACTATCTTTAGTAAGTGAAAGTGTCTCAGAACTAACCATATGCATTGATAATTGGTCGATAAGTGAACTAAACCTTAATATTATACTAAACTTAGTAAAATCACGTCTACGTCTGCTGACAACGAAACATTTTTCAACTTGTCAATCATCATTTAAAAACAATAATAAATTGATTGAGTATTCATTATAAAGCAAATTACATGTGAGATCTTATTATTATAAGTAATTAGATCGTATAATTTACGTTTATTTCTAGTACAAAAATTCAAAATAATAAGATTTTTCAAATCTATGGTTCTATATGCTTACAAATTTTATTAATAATCCTATGATTAAATTTAAATGAAGTGTTAACCACATGATTGAAAAGAATATGAGATCAAACGGTAACCCACTGTGGTGTTTGTATAAAATAATGTTTCTTTTAACGACTGCTCGATTTCGAATTCCAAATACAATATGTCTGTTCGTGCTCGTCTAGTTCTTCTTAGTCTAAATTGCTTTATTTCTTGGATTTTTAGTTCGCACAATAATTCAAATACTTCTAACCATCACATCTACACATTACTACATAGCATCAATATCTACTTCATCTTACTATTTTCCACTCAACATTTATTCATTTCATATTCTAAAATAATATTACTACAAGTTCAAATAATACTGAGCACATGTGAAGTGTTAATTTGTTCATTTTACCAATTGTTACACTGCACAAACTTCAGGTAGAAATGAAGTTTGTGCTGATTATTTCGTTCAGAAGAACGATGAAAGTTCCACGACCAAACCATTCAGCTCAAAGAACAAAACTCCATCAAAATCATCCACCTGAGTTACAAACCTTCTACACCATCTTAATTGCTACACAATTCGATTATAGAATAAGTAAATTCTTTTCATTTTTTTTTCATCATTCGATGATTTCTATACAACTGTATGAAAATACTTGACGATACATAAATTAACACTTAAAAACAGAACAACTGTGATAATCAAGAGTATTTGAATTATAGTATGAACTAAGAATCCCAGAAATAACGCAAGAAGTACCAGATAAGCACGAACGAATGTACTGTATTTAGAATTTGAAATCAAGCATTCAACAAGTACAAAGGAATCATTAGTTCATCCAAACACCACAACAATATAAGTGAATTTCAAAATTTCTGTACAATAGTAAATTTTTATACTTTATTATAGGGGTTTAAATTAGCCAGACGAAATTGAAAAAAATAAATTAGGGAGTTTTAAATGAATTGTTAAGTAATTAAAATTCACATTGAAAAATGTTATATAATGTCAAACAAACTTTAATATATTTAGTCAATCATTAATAAGTAATTTCTTCAAATATTTAATAAAACGATCATCTTGTACAATATCTTCATGTGAACTTTGTTCCAACACAACTACATTAACATAATTCCATTTATTACAAACAGATAAACTTTTTAACGGTACAACACCATCACCATATTTTAATTTTGGTATCTGATTGGGAAAGGCAGAACGATGTGGTCCTGGAATATTGAAAATCATCTGTAATATTGTTGGAATATTAAAACTATAAACACAGTAAACTTCAATATCAGTAGGCCTTTCAGATGGATTAAATAGACTTTTGGTTTCTTTCATCATCAAATAACCTAAATCATTAATTAATTGAACAAATAAATATTAAAAAAATCAAAATAGAATGAATTCGTTTAACGAGACTGTCATAAACGTCTCACAAAATATAATACACTTTTAGTTATATATTGAAAATAACTAGAAAACAATTGAAGTCCATTGGGTACTGGATGACTTTTTCCATTTAGTTGATGACTAAATAGCAATGCGTACTCGCCACCTAGTCAAAAGTTGAGACTAGGGTGATGGATCTACAAACCAAGTAAATGGTCGTGAAGCTTTCATCGTTGATCTAAACGATATCATGAGCACAAACTTCAGGTAGAAGTAAAGTCTACATGAAGTTTGTGCTGATGACGTCTTTTAGATCAACGATGAAAGCTTCACGACTAAACCATCCAGCTCAGAGAGAAAAAATCCAACCAAAATCATTCACCCTAGTCACAAATCCATTTCACCATCTCAATATCAAATATTTATTTACTTGCCTTGAGGGAAAGAAATATCATTAAAAAATGCTTTCATATCATGTGCTGAATAATTTCTTTTCGGAGTTATAACGAACTTCTCACTTGCTGACCACACACGTGGATCTGGTAGAAGAAATGTCATTGCGGGAAATGATCTTTCAATGTCACGAAATGCTAGTGGAGAACGAAATGGAATTCCGAAGTTATGACCTGAAAATAGAGTAAAGAATATTCGAAGAGTCCATTAATGTTATTCTTTATCAATTTCTTTTATTCCATTTCATTTACTGGCATCAGGATTTAATTACTACTTATAAATTGAATGATGATATAATAAATTTATTCTTATTCATATGATGATCATATATAATTTCAAACGATCTATATTCAATTACATTACTAAAATATTTTAACAACCTGTAATGCATTTTTTTAAACAGTCTACGAATTCGGATAACTTCCTTGCATGAAAACTGTCTTGTTGTTTTAATCTTTACCCTTTACTCAGTGATAAATGTGTTCATTCCCAAATATTATCATGTCGAAATAAATAAATAATAATGATAATGTGGGGACGGCTTTGGGAGTGATAAATAAACAATTCAAATGTGTAACTGAACTAAAACTATCAAACAGCATTAGCTCTCTTCCAACTGTCATAGCTGTAAAACTGATAATACAAACCTGATTGAATCAATTTCTTACAGAGAGGCTGCATTAAGCTTTCCCAATTTCTTTAATACCTCGGAAAATAGTTTTATTGTAGATATTTCTTTCCTCATCTAGTCGACTATTTCAGCCATATTCAAAATTTATCTATCTGAATAAATTAAAATATTTACTCGGTAAACCAATTTGTCATAAAAAATGTAACAACCTGGCACAAATATACAATGATTAGAGTTATTACACTGCATCAGCACGATAAGATGGATACTAGACCATTATAACTATCACCGATAGTAACAAAAAAGACTAAACATTGCGAACATAATTCGAAAGGAAGAAATAAATTTATAATAGAGAAAATATGTTCCCGTAATCTGTGCGTAGTCATAGACGTAACCTTTCTACGACAACACTGTCGATTTTGTTCCGTTTTACCCAACGTCTTTAAGTAAAGGTTATGTTAATCGTGAGGGCGCATACCAAAAAGTCCTGATAAGACAGCTTGACTTAAGTTGACTAGACAATCATAAGCTAGATGAAACAGAAACTGATCTGTCAGTATTACATTTCTTAAACCTTTAAGACGTATAATAGTTCATATATACTTTTGTAGTTTCACACCAAGGATTGACTTTTGCTATACAACTGTTAAAAACTCCATAGTGTTGAGTAGCTGTTTCGCGACAGTATGAGAATTCTAAGCGACGTATATACATGACTATATCAGAGATTGAATCTAGGAGATAAAGAAAAAAGTTGATAGAACTTGAACTTTAGACCGCTGGGTTACAATCTAATGGTTTACATTTCTAATCTCATCTGTCCAATGCCTCCTACTTTCCAGTGTTTGTCCAGATAAGTTTAATTTATGACGTAAAACATCACATTCAACAATATACACTGGCCTCTTTACTTGTCATGTTGTTGTCTCTAGTGAAATACTAAAACAATACAATAAAAATTTAAGTTTTAGGCATGGTTCTAGTAATTTTTTGACTCACCACAGGTTTCCGCATACAAACTTTCAACAGATCCACCAAAAGGACTTGACACAGATATAAATCCCTTGATATATTTATGTTTCCATCTTTTATCTTGCAGTTTTAAAAAATACATTGAGTACAATGATCCTAAACTGTGGCCCAATAAGTAAACTGGACATTTTTCACTATTTTCATAGGTCTCTTCAACCAATTCCTTTAATTTGACGAAATATTTTGCGTTTTCATCTAAAAAAGAACGGTGAAACTTTGTTTTTCATTCTATTTTAAAATATACTTGGCGCTTTGCGAAAATCATACGGTGCAGAACGTATTGTTTTATTTCGCACAAAAAATTTGTCCTCTGTTAAACTTTGAACAAGTGACTTCATATAACTTGTTAATGGATATTTTTCTTCAGATAAATATTCACTAGCCCAAGTATCACCCCAACCAGGGAATTCAACATTACACAACTCTCTGTCTCTCGTTTGTTTTGTCTTCGGATCATAAATTAATCTGTTTTATATAAATAGAAAATATTACATAATAATTTATTTTACCCCATATAAGTGAATAGTTTTTCCGGGATCAAAAAATAAAGTAACTTAACCCAAAGTGTAAATGGTTTCGTATGTGATTGTTTGTCAGTTGGTTTACATAATGCTTGTGTTCCACCAATTCCATGTATTAGTATAAGAGGATATCGAATGTTTTCATCTCTCGCTTTTTCCAAAGCTATACCTTTTAAATTATATGAAGATGATGTAAATAACCCATGTAATAAAACTAACTATTATAAATTACAAAAATATAAACTAAATTTACCATTAATTTAATAAATCTAATCATATTAGTCACTATTTCAATGTCTATTCATAATCGTACATTGTTCTGGATCATATCGACAAAAGTAAAATTTCTTTGACTATTATTTAAACAATTAAAATCATTTATTATATACCTTAATTTTAATGTCAATCTTTTCAAATTATATCAGACATGATTTGATTATGTAGGCGATTAAATATTCAATGATGAATAGATAAACTCATATCATCATATTATTAACCAATCAAAAATAAATTTGTCAAATCTTAAAATTAAATTAAAAATTGCCTTAAACTGTCATTATTATTATTATTATTATTATGTGAAATTAATGTAAACATACGGATCATTAGAAAGTTGATCTGACTAACAGATCATTGAATAGTATGAATTTTTTATTTAGTATCTAATCAGATCAACATATAGGTTACTTAGCTTACTATAAATTCCATACATTGAGTAGTAATAATAAAACATGATTGACAAGAATAAAAGTAGACTTATATTGATTGTTAAATACAGTTTTCTTCTTCTTTTTTCTTAATTGGTAATGAGACAGTTCTATTATTAGTTAATGATAATCCTTGAATTAAAAAAATAAATACAAGTCATTCTCTTAAGATTAATATAATTGAGGTGGTAGAAAATGGAAAGTATATTTTTCATATATAATCTTGCTTCTTAGTATACTTATAATATGAGAGAAACACTTCCAACTGAACATAAGTATTTGTACGCTTTTTTATATTCTACTTAAATCTTACATCTATATTGAAATATTCTATAGTATTAGTTTAGAATATAGAAAACTGTTCAGTAAGGAAATTTTTCTTTTGTTTACCAAATTTGTACAATTGTAATTACAGTTGTTGTATATATAGTAGACTATAACAAAGTTAAAGGATCTTGAATCATTAACTAAATTACTACAACTTTATCAATACTTCTTCTTCAACTATCAGGTTCAAGTTTTGTAATAGTTGAAGGTTCAATAATAAAGTCAGAATAATACATGGAAGTAAGATGTAAAAGATAGTTGCTTACATGAAGATTGTAAAAAAAAACAGGAGAAAAAGCAGGTGTTTATAGCATTTCTGAAATAATAATGGTGTTATAGCTTAATCTGAGGTTGTGTAAAAGATAAATAATGACGATGAGTCTCTATCCGTGACTACTTGTTCACTAGCTCCTTCTGAACAGACAACGTTGTCTTCAATAAGAGCGGTCTTTCCAAACTTATAAGTGATCAATACTCTTCTTCGTCATCCGAAAGCGAAGTGAAGATATTCAACAGCTTCACTTCAGGGCACCTGCTCAGTTCATATCAGCCATACCATCTAGAATTAATACTCTAACTAATTGATAGCGCCAAGCAAACTGACTCTAAGAGTGTGTCTATATCATAAACATTAGCAACTTATTAGTTCAATCCTGATCTCTGTGTTTGAAAAATAAATATCTCATCTCTTATTTCACTGTGATCCTAACTCACCAAATTTTTAAGTTGTCATTTCAATATCCTTGTTTCTAATTTCTCCATCAATCTGAGTGTACAAATTATACCAACAGCATTTTCATACGAATACTTACTGTGATGAACTGTGTGTTGAGTAACTCGCTCTAGAACTTCTTGAAACCTACATTTTTTACAGTTATTCATATTAAAAAAACTAATATGCTTTCTGTGAGCCACAAAGTGTCTACGATATGTGTTTCTATCATACTAACTGACAAATTAAAAAACACAGAAACACAAGAAATCTGCTTCACCTCGTCCAAAAATATATTTTAGAAAGATTTTCAAACAATAAGACATATTATCCAACTATGTCAATCGGTCTAGATATATAATTTGTGACAACAGATGAATAAACAAAATGGTTTGTACGGATGACAAAAAAAACCCATGTAGGCTTAACATAGTTTTAGATACCACAGATCACTTATCTTCTGCTGATACGAGAAAATCGGTTGATAATAGTTGAGAGACTCAATACGAATATCACCTTAAAGGTAACTAAAGAAGAAGGCGTTGACGTTTGTGGTGACAGTTTATTTGAACGTAAGGGTAGGTAGAGACAAAGGATACTACTTGTAAAACTGTCGAGAGCGCGATATGTGTGTTATATGTTTAAGCTCGTCCGTTACCGAATTCTGTTTTGATTGTGTTTGTGATCTGTGGTTCTAAAGTTGTCACGCAAAAGCGTTGTAATGTCCGAAATATCTGTGGCATATATTTTGGTGCATTTAGTGATAACAGATAATCATCCCAATAGACCACTGTTGCAGTCTAGTCGCCTATAGCATTTCTGAGGCTACTACCAGTTGTAAGCCCGGGTAAAGAAGGAGATTTTGTCATGGGGTCTGGAACCCCATCCCGTAGAAGACGACCTTTCTAAAACAACGCTAAGTAGAATAAACAGACTGTCTAATCGTAAAATAAACCCTCAAAGTAACTGGTATACAAGTATGCTGGGAAGTATCCGCCACTAAAATATCTGATAACTGTTAGCTAATATCTTTCAACTTCGGAGTTTAATGTTATTCAAATTGTTATCGCCTCATCACTCCAATTTTTAATAGCTAATTGATTGAACTATCGATTTATAAAGCAGTGTGGCATAAAGGATATTTTCCCATCACACATGAGCAAGAATTAAATGTAACTTCTACATAGCAATGTTTGATGTTTGGAGTCTGAATGACCTTCGTTTAATTCAAACTCTTGCATGATTTGAAGGTTAGTTGTCATGTCTGTGTACAATATGAATAATGGGTTGGTGAATTTCCGTAAAGTTAGATCTTTAAGTAAATTCATATCCTTCATGGTATCAAATATTGATGCTTTTGTGTTGCTACTTCATCGTAATCTGTTTTTACCGCTCGCAGCAATTATTCTGATAGTCAAATCGTCATTATTGACATTCCTATACAGATCGACATAGGGTTGCGGAGATTGTTGTTTCGTCCCTTAGTACCACGAAATGTCCATGCACTGCTTACGGGTTCTTAATGGTGAACTTTTAGTGATTGGTTCATTCTCTCAATTAAATCTTTTGTTTTAGTTATAAATGAACTGACTATATATAGTCCTACTCGCAATGAGTTTACACTGTAGCCTTCGTCGTTAGTAGGCTTTAATTTAAGAAAGAAAACAGTGGAACTTGCCATACCACATTAGCACAGAGGTGCATTTGTCGGTTCAAATCCCATAGTGGTAGAAGTAGTAGAAGTTCAAACAGTAAACGAAAAGATTAGGGTTTGAAAATGCTATTCTAGGAGTATAATCCAGTGAAATAAATTTGGAAAGAGGGAAAAAGGAACATGGAGAGTTAAGAAGACTAGAATAAGACAGAACACAATTTCTTCATACTATTTCATTTAGCGTGCTGAGCACCGTCGTCCATATGGGTGATGAAAATATTTTTATCCTCTGATTAAACAAAATGTAATGTAGTTTTTGCCTGTCAGGCTTCCATGATGTCGAAGCTTCTTGGTCGAATTGAGGATGTTTAAGCGAAATATTCCTTGGTTTTTAAGATGTGTTAGGTTTATGTCACCATGGTTTCAAAATATTAACTAGGATTCTGATGAAATTACTTAACAAAAAAGTCACTAGCAATTGTTGAACGTTTTTTGTTATTTTGGGTTCCTTTTCGAGTAAACAATAAGTTATTGTTTTCTGTATTGGGGAATTAAAACTCTTATTGTTCATATAGAGCCTAAATTATGAACGATACAGGATGTGGATATGGTTCTCCACAAATCCAACGGACGTATCTAATTCCACTTGCTGAACAGGTATATTTTGGCAAATCCTGGTTTATTGTCCTATAGTTTGTAAAGATTTCTGTTGACTCTTCATCTGTGGATGAGTTTTCAGACTACATAATTCGAGACAAGTCAACAAGTTGTAATAGATCTAATATGAAGTTATGGCGCAAAGATGCTTGCAAAGGTATACGTTTATGCTTTTTTATCTTGCTTAGCATTAAGACTAGTGAATACTCGTACGATGGTCAGTCCTGTTCCAAAAGATCCACCCATCATGGCTGACGAATCTGAGTTTCCTAAATTAGATATGTCAGTAGATTTAGACAGAAAGCTTCCACGTAAACGTTCCAGGACGAACCTGGAATCAACAAGTAAACATATGTATAGATTTGACTCCTACATTTAGCTGAATCTATTTCTGCTCGATGTGTTTCTTCAACGTTATCGGATATCAGACACACAGTTCCAGCGGATTTACGAGTAAGTAGTTTATATTTTTCTACAAATATTTTAGAGGCAAATAAAAGGCTTTCTCGCATGCCACCTACTTTCCGATATAGGATTACCGGTTTGGCCATCTTTGTTGATTAATGGTCCCCCATTTTGCGGCAAAACTACATTGATTGAAGCAGCATGTGGAGTAATCACAAAATGTTTTCTTTTTGAATAATTGCAGACTCTAGGTTTAAAAATCATCACTGTTTCGGTTGGTACAGTACCATCATCTATACGTCCTTGGATGGATATATTCAACCAAGCTAAGGTACAATTAGTTCCTTAATTGAAATCCGATTAGAATTCCTCACCATGTATTTTACATTTGGATGATATTGAAAGTATGGAGAAACATTCCTCCCCTGTTGGGACGTTCCGTCTCACCTGCCTTCTAAAAAGTCAATTGCTTAAAGGTATCAATATACTGTGCTATTCCTTATGTTGATTCATGCCCTTTAATTTTTCATAATGACCAACGGACCCTTGAATAGTATGAGTTACATGTATATAAGGTTTCCACCGCCGTTAAACCTATCTATGTGAGCTGTTTGTTACATGGTTCACCACATCCACACTTTTGGGGTTGTAGTTAAGTATAAAGATAACTATTAATAGTGTCTGCAACGTGTTGTGTCCATTATTGGACAGCCAACTATTTGCAAAAAGGTAGGTAAATGGTTGCTAGAAAAGCTAATGAGGAAATTTCTTTCTGTTCTTCAGAATAGCCCTGATCACTGCGCCAAAATAAAAGTCCAATTACCTGTGAAACCAGATGCCAAACCCAAATTTTTCCCGAAAAGTCCTGCACCGTATTCTGTTCTTGAACTGGTCGATCAGGAACTTAAACGTTTACTGCAAGCTGGTATAATCCAACCAGTCAACTACTGTTCATGGACCGCAGCGGTCGTAGTGCTTAAGAAGGCCAATCAAGCTATACACATGTGTCAGTATTCGTTACCAGTTCCTGATGACCAGTTTGTTATGCATAAACAGTGGAACATGTTCCTCGAAAATAGACTCTTCTGACGCCTGTCTGAAAGAAGAAGTAAATGATGATTGTATAGAGCTTTCGATTATCAACAATCATCGCGGGCTATTTCAATATACCCGCCTACAATTTGGTATTATGACCGCACCTACCATCTTTCAGCAAACAGTGGATACAATGTAAACAGGTATACCTGGAACAGCAGCTTATATAGGTGACATTGATATGGGTTCAACTGACAGTGAACTATCAAATCGACTGCATCAAGTTCTTAACCGAGTGATGGAGTATTGACCTCAACTACATGAAGAAACACATATCAACCTCAGCTTGGAAATTGCTGTTGCATCTGGTACTTCTAGTCGTGGAGTTGGGGTAGTGATACCTCACATGTTTCCATACAAATCAGATAAAACAAATACTCATGCTGCTAGATCACTCACCACAGCCGAGTGGAACTACAGCCAAATTGAAAAGGAAGCCCTTACAGTCATATCTGCTATTAACAGATTCCACAAAACGCTCTGCGGCCGTAAGTTTACTGTACTGACGGATCAAAAACCTTTAATTTCAACTTTTGTTTCTAAGAAAGGAATTCTTGTCTATCCGACTAGCAGATTGCTGCACGGGTCGAAAATGCTCCTGAGCTATGACTTTAACATCAAGTATCAGTTAACAAATACCAGCCAGTCAGTCACAACGTAGAACCTGTACGTATATACATCAGTTTAAGTTGCCATACCCATTGTTATAGAAAGATGAAGTTATCAGGCCGAATTCCAGAGTAGTAGAGTTATCAACAGTATTACCAATAATAGAAAAGATTGGGTATCGAAGATGCGACTCGGAAACAAAATATAAGTTAACGAAATAAAAACAAAAAAGAATTCGAAGGATTTAAAATCTCAGGATTTGGAGAAGACAAAGTATGAATGCACCTGTGCCATTGCAAACGATTTTGATCCATTTCATTAAAACTGCTGGTAACGATAATCACGCGGATCCCAACCAGGCAGTCTGTACCTATTAATATGGCCTAATATAATTGTCAGTGACTTCATGAACTGATGCCATGTTCTGGTTTGACTGTACCTAACTTTCTTCCACCCTACTCTTGCCCCAGAAAGCATTTCCCGTCGAGTTAGACTGCGGTTGGGCATACGTAACATATCTTAACCATCTCAATCGATAAAGATTTACTACCTCGCCAATCGATTTGCCATCCTTACTTAGAACCCTTTTGCTAACACAGGGATTGCTTACTAGTTGGTCCCAAAATACATGAGTAATGCTTCGAAGAATCTCCGAAAATCCGAACACCATTCTATTTGTGAATCGATAGCCAAACCAAACGCTTAATTGGTATACTTAAAAATGCTCCGAGAAGATCAAAATGGAAAGAGATCATTGAAGTGATTTTAGAGATGGCCTTTACTCCTATTCTACCTTGTTACTTGGAATATAATTACGTTCCTGTTCAACCATGTTTTGATTTAGAGACTTGTCAAGTAAAGTAGTGTCCGGAGAAAATAGCTTCTTGACAGTTCGAAGTCTAATTGTCATGTAAACAATGAAATAACACGGTTATTTGGGTTATTCATAAACTCGTGGCATTACCACCGATCTATAATTCATGTAGTCTTATGGTGTGGTATTTTCGAGGCTGGACTGTCAACTGCTTGGTTCAAAACCACGTTTAATGTCAATGTTTGCCATCATATGATATTTGTTTCACTTTTTCAAAGCCACACACAACTCGCTATATCGTTGTCACGTTACATTACTTGTTGTTGTCATTGTTTTCATATATTACATGATATTATACAGGAATCTATTTTGCCTTGGATTTAATGCATGTGTGACATTTTTAATGATTTCAGATATGGTCAACTCAGGTGTTGTACTTATTGGGGAAACTCGATCTCTTCTTGCCAGCCTACCTCAAAGTATATTAGATTTGTTTACACAGAAGTTGACATTTGGAATGTTAAATGAGGCTCATCGTTTGAGGTAAATTTACCGGTTTAAAATTAAGCTTGCTAGTTGTTTAGTTGACAAAATTATCTAACTCTACAGATAACGTAACCTTTTCAACTGATGGTTATGTCGCATCTTAAGCATCTCTTGCTTAGTAAAATGTGTTCACTATCATCATCCTCAAACTGTTGCCTTGTTAAGTGCTACACATTATCTAATAGTAATAACTTCGTGCTTTTTGTCTGTGGGACTTCCTAGATTTCCATAGATGGACTGGGCGCAGCGCTGCACAACCTGTTCAGAGGTCCTCACGAAAAACACCTCTTAAAATTTCATAGAAATAAAATTGTTGAATGAAAGTGGTTTCTCAGTTAATTGTTGTTTGCTTGGGTCTATTTTTCACTCCGCCACTGTTTGATCACCTTGAGAAATGTCTATATTATACCCCTGTCAAATGTCTATCATCTTACTGTGTGCATTTTTTTAGTTTGCCGTATTGTTCAGCCACTTTACTAATTAGTGATATTCATCAGCTCATGCTATAATTTTGAAGTTTGATAAAAGGAAGTCAATCACGTTCCGGTAACTGTTTCATTTGATAGAATACATTTAGGATAAATGTTTAAATCGAAAGCTAACATTATACATTATATCATTCAATCACTCATTGGTGTACCTCCCTTAATTTGTGAAGAAAGAGTTTGTGTGTTATATTATAACTAAGTCCCGGTCCTCTAGAACAGTTTTCTATATGCCCCAGAAACAATATTGACGCATTCATACAGACACATTCTCGTTCCATTCAATTGATTGTTCAGCAATGATCCATATTGTCACAATTTAGTCTGTACACGATCGATCCTTAAGGAATCCAGCATGTTGATCTCCAAGTTGGGCGTCTACCGAATCTTTCATACGGTTCAGCAATACTCCATTTAAAACTCTTGATACTGACAGTATTGTGATGACTCCGTAGTTTTCAAATTTGCTCAGATCTCCTTTTTTTGTTATCGCGATAGGATACCCTTCTTTCCAATCTTTCGGCACTTCCGAAATCCGGTTTGTATCTCCTCATTCCCGTTGCTATTTGACTGGTCCTCCCAGTCTCCCACATTGTCTGGACGTTCCATTTACCTATTAAACTTGTTGCTGCGGTTGTTAGAATGGGCATCGGCCCTGTGGCTTCCGAATCCTGAGGCGTCATAATTCTTCCTCCAACGTGAAGGGCAGAGTTTAAATAGTTTAATTCGTTCATTCTGGTTGGCGTTTTTTAGCAAGATTTTCTTCTACGGGATAGGCTTGCAGACCCCACGCTCAACCCTGCTCCTTTGTGTTGGCTTGAGACCGGCAGTAGCCCTAAAGGAGCCACAGGTGGAGTTAAAAAGTAATACGCGCCACACTAAATATTGCGTGTGCGTTAGATTGCTGCATGGAAGCCTAAACGAAAACAGCTAGCTCCCTTAGGAAGCCATGTCTCATGACTCTTCTTCAAATGGAACAATATCATGAGATGCTATCGTATAGTAGTTGATGACCAGGAATAGATTCACACGCAGTTCGTTCCTTCTGAGTTTTGGGGCCTATGAAAATTACTGGTTTAGAATCAGGATTTTCCAACTCACTTAAGTATACCCTCTGTATTCACCAGCGCCATTCATTCTTTTTTGTCCTTTCAATTTCGTTAATAATACTCTCATCGCGTGGAAGCACTTAGTAGAGCTTACAAATGCATGATCGTACGCAAGCGTTCCCAGCAGCAGATCGAGCTCTTCTCACTTTCGGTCTGTACCAAGACAATTAGAGGCCAGTGTCGGCTGGCACTGTTTTGTCATCATCGTTTTGGTTTCAATCCATTCATAATATGTTGTCTACTTTTGCTTCTGTCATATTAGATTGTTGCAGCAGTACTTGTTAGATGATACTGATTTTATTATTTCACCGAAACCAGTAAGTTCTAATTCCAATCAACTACAACTCAGTGAAAACTTAACATGTCTTGAATTAGCCCGTCGAACACCTGGTTATGAAATCGGAGATTTGATTCGTCTGGTAGCCCATTTAAAAATGGCTTGTTTAACAAGTAAACTTAATGATGTTAACGATGATGATGATGTTGATGACAACCTGAATAATCTTGATACTCACAGTATGGAGTGTGTTAAGAATGGTCAAAAGGTGCATGTTAATTTCTCCATTGACTCGCGTGTCGCTGATAACTCTGTTTCGGTATGTTTCCTCATGTATATCATTTGCTTTAATTGGGTTGTTTCTATGAAAAGGTAGCTCTTCTTAGATTTTTTGTAGCTGTGGTTTTCTGTAGTTAGTCAACAACAACAACCCTCGGTTTACTGCGTATTAATACTATTCGCTATTACTCTTATACAACCTTTGGTAAATTTACAGTTCATCTTAAGTGTATGCTCATACTGCGTTAGGAGATAATGTATTAACTCTCTGTGTCACTTCTGACGTCTGTTCATAAAATATAGTTTGCTAGATACATAACATAACATTTGTCTATAAAGTATTTGGTATCGTTAATTCACTGAGATACTTGGTCGTAAGTAACTGGATATCATTTTTATTTACGTTGACCAGGTGTCATAACTCTACGCCCGAACTTATTTTTAATACACTTTCTACAATTTATTCAGAACCAATGATCTATGATGGGACTAGTTTCGTTTTGTTTCACCAAGCAGACATACCGAAATTCTTCTTCCCTTATTTATGAGGTACTCAAAATTAAAATACTTTTTATACATTTTACAACACAAATTGCATAGATGTCAAGGATGCAACAGGAGTTTGCAAATATAAGGTATTCGAAATGGTCTTACATACGAACTGACTTCTGCTGAAGATGTTCTTAATAGCATGAGATTATTGTTCATTTTAGAATATCTGGTGCCTGAATTCATGTTTGTTTTTCGTATTATTAGTTATAAGATTTTGTGTGCATCTAAACAAGTTTCTGATTCCTGTTAGTAATCCAACTACTTTGAACTAGGTGTCTTAGTGCACCTTATAGTGTGGTCTGATCTACTTATACGGACAGACATAAGTAGTATGTAGCAGGAATTGGAATTTTCACCAGCAGAAAATTAAAACAAAAAGAGCAAAGAAAATAGAGCAATCGGAATAACAAACGGGATTAGAAGAATGATGGAGTATGTAAAAGGCTACTGAAGAACGATATGCAAATGATGTATTTACTGTATGATTTTCCATAAAACAATAAAGTGGTTTCCCGCCTTCAATTCTCCGTTCACTACAATATTACTGAGTACGATAAGAGTAGCATCCGTAGAATACTTAAGTAATTAGTTTTTGACCTGTGTTTGCTTTTAATCCATAGGGTATTATTGTGTTTGCTTTCTGTGGTAATTGGAATTCAAAGAGAATATTGTTTAGCTGTAAAAATATTTGAGTAATTTGTACATCTTTTGACCTAAGCATTTGTAACACGGTTATGTTAATAAGCTAGTCACTTATTAACATAAGTACCATTCTATTTTCAACAAGATTTTCAGGTTAGCTAGACTTGTGATACTCTAGCTGCTAATAGTGTATCCTATTTTCAATAAATAATTCCCATGGAAAAAAGTCGAATTATAAATCCGAATTTTTCAGACAAGTTGTATTTTGTACAGAACTTCAACTCGTTTGCCTTCTTTTTAGGAACCAGTCACATATCCTTTAATCGTAACAAGAGAAATTGTTGACAAAGCGTTGGTTGTTGTCATTCCAGCAGTTAAGAATACTGCTGAATTTGTAACTATTCCAGATGTGACTTGGGCTGATGTCGGTGGTCTCGAAACAACTAGACAACAATTATACAATCGCTTCATGGTGAGAAAATTGATGTTATATCTACGTTTATAAAAGTTTTAATCTTCTGTCATATTGGTTATATCTCGAATAGGTCGCCTTGATTGCTTGAAACAGCTACAAAAATCTAGTAAATTACACCGAATCATCGCATTTGTAGAATATAAATGAATGAAGTAAGAAATAACTGAAGTCGATCGTACAGGTTTTATTCGTTTATGACGTGAAGAGCTTCATTTTCAGTACAAATTGGGTCAGTTACAAGCCTTGGATATTAAACTGCCAGTTTTTCTGCTTGGCAAACATCGTTAATAATTCCAATCGGTTATAGTTATAAACTGCAATAGATTAGCCCTAGATAGTCATAAAATTTTAATTTCTAAGTTTTCGTATCATTTAATTAACTTTAGCCCATAACTGAAAACTGTATATAAGTTAACTGTATCCTTCTTATATATCACTACCTAATTAGCAAATAAGTAACTAGTTCCTGTTACGAATGTATATAGCTTCTAATCGACGATTGGGAACGCGCTCAGGTTTTGCATCGACGTTCTGGAGGTGTACTACTTGAGGGTCCACCTGGATGTGGGAAAACACTCGTAGCTAAAGCTCTATCCAATCAAGCTGGTCTCAATTTCCTGTCGGTTAAAGGTCCAGAAGTCCTTAATAAATTCCAAGGTGAAAGCGAACGTCGTATTCGAGAAATCTTTGAAAGAGCACGTGCTTGTCAACCATGTCTGATTTTCTTCGATGAAATAGATGCAATCTGTCCAAGACGCGATAGTGATGAATCTACAGGTAACTGAATATTCACTTTCTGGTAGACGTTTTTTTATTATAACAGTACATGTTTCCCCAATCTTTCCAAGTAAATTTGAATTATGAGGTTTCGCCCGAAGTTTTATCGAATAAATACGAAGTATTTCTTTCTTCGCTTATGAATCCTGAGCTTGACGTTGTGTAATTTAGTCATTTAAACATTCGAGTTTTAAATCAACAATTGTCCAAGACTAGGAACATCTAGATTTTTCACTATCATAACAGTCTTAGTAAAATAATTAATAATATGGCAATGAACAAATACATATTTACTCATTTTATGCACTTTTTGCTACTACTAACTTGGAAACACAAAGTTGATAGAGTGACATTCGGATCAGTTAAATGCTTAAATCACTGAGCTACAGCACGCTAGTTGAAAGACGAATGATAGTGTTCATTACTCTCGTCTATTCCCTAGAAAGTTCCGTCAATTTCATTGTCATTTTGGATGAGCTGTTAACACATACTAACAATCACTTGTATAGGCTTCGGTTATGCTTCAATTTCATCATTCATGTATTTGCAACCGAATTATTGAGAAAATTTTTAAACACAATTTTGTTTAGCTTTTAGTATAAATCCTGAGTGTTGGCGGTTTGTTCCTTGCTTGTTCATAAGTTTTTTGACTTGGTACGTCTAGTATTAAATATAAATGAAAGTAATTTTATTACCTTGATAATAAATACTTTCAATATATTTCGAAACTTCCTTATTAACTGATACATTTCGATCAGGACCAGCAAACTGCGGGTACATTGACTAACGAGAACACATAAGATACATCGTAAACATAAGCGAAAAAATCAAATGACAAAATAGTTATTCGATCTATATAATAGTTTTAAAGTTTGATTATTATCATCAATATGATTTGATAATCTATGAAAATGTGAAATGAAAAGCAAATCAAATAAATGATTAAACTATCCTTCGTCTACTGTTTATTCGCTCAAAACTTCGGTGAGATAGTGAAGTTGATTTTTCATATTTTTACCAAGTTCAAAGTACTTGACATAAGTGTGAAGGTGTAAAGTTGTAACAAATTACTTTCAAATATTTCCTGGTTGTAGTATATTTCATATTCTCTATTTGGCTATAGAATATAATTTCATTAGACTGATTTGACTTTACGAGTTAATGAAAAAACTAATTTTCAATAATCAAGGAATCTAATCGGAATAATATTATCTTGAAATCAAATGGTTTCTAATTATTCTGTACTTCATTCTATCTAGATAATAAATTTAAATAAAACTCTTAGGTTTCATATCAAGTATAATGTATAAACGATTACTGACTTTTCAGATTGTTATATATTCCTATCTAAAGACTTTCGTTAATCTGACGACCTTCAAGCAAATCGGTAAAAAGCTGTAGGGTTACTGAACTTTGGTACAACAACCACTCAAGTTGTATAAAGATATTGTTTTTCTAATAATCACAAACTATTTTAAACCGGTATTCAAATGTTTTATTTGTTATGGATTGAATTTGTGCAAATGTATCAAATTTTAATCATTTATTTTGAGATGATAAAGGTTTCTAACTCAGGAAGAAGGATTTTTGGAGTATTTCACCTTTTTTGATTTAGATAGTAGTGACGGAGCTTTCACAGTCTTTCTAGACAATACAATTACATACTTCGAGAATTATAAACAATTAAGAGCCTAAAGGTCAGGTCAGAGAAAAAGGTGAATAAAATAAATACATGGGGACAGTGAAAGCACAATTATGACCAACAACCAACTAAATCCTGTGTTCGCAAAACAAGCTTTTAATTACCAATCAAGAAATTCTATAAACTCACTCTCCTCTATAGTATGTGTTGATGATGCGTAGACTGTTGACTAAAGCTTCAGAATCCGACAATTCAATCCAAAGGATCCAATCCTGTTTCGGTTTAGGCGCTCAGGCAGCATTTCAGCCCTCGCACAAATGGAATGACGCAAATATATTTGGTGCCTCCTTGTGTTTGAATAAATAAAAAGATCCAATACTAAAATCTCTAATAATCCTCTAAATAAGACAAAACTTATTCAGTGATCAATGTAGATGTTCTTGCTTAATTTCTGGTTAATATTTTGATGCTTTTTTATTTTTGTTTGTGTTTTTCAATAGTTCACAAGCTGTGAGATTGTTTTTAGTTTCGTTGTAGTTTATAATAACTCTGGAGATTGGTTGTAAATGATTTCAAACGAACTCAGTAACCAATTAGAAACAACGAAATTTCGTACCATGTTATCAAGTACAGATAAAGATTTTGTGATACAGCATGAAACTGTGTCATTGATTTGTGACGTGTAAACTGATTACATTTTAAAAGTTATTCTCTATAGATTTCACTGGAACCTTCCTTTTTGAAATTATGATTTCATTCTTATTGCTTATCCTGATATTCTATCTTCACTTAGGCAGTCGAGTTAGTTTGGTTAATCAGCTTCTGGTTGAATTGGATGGTATTGACAAACATAGATCAGGTCGCGTTTTTGTTGTTGGTGCTACTAATCGCAAAGATATGATTGATCCTGCCATACTTCGTCCTGGACGTCTGGGCTTACATTTGATGATCAACCCACCGTCTAATGTGAAAGAACGTCTCTCTGTTTTATCAGCTTGTACTCGGTCTGCAACTACTCCTCGTATTGAGAATGGTATGCTGTCACTTGAACTCATTGCGAATGATTCACGCACTGAGAGAATGAGGTATTTAAATTTCATGAAACTAATCTAATTTTTATGAGATATTTTCCAATTTTATCCGTTTTAAAGTAATCTAACGTATTCTATTCTAGCGAATAGTTATGTTGTGTTCATAAGTCCAGAATGTCTATTATTTACTACCACTTTCCAATTTCAAAGCTCACGTGAAAAAGGGTTACAATCAATACAATTTACACCAAATTTCCAACTATCTAGACATTTTCGATGTGTTCCTAACGAGTTTAAACGGATTATCGTTTCCTTTTACTAAAAAATTGTTCGTCATTGTATTTCTTTATATGTAATTGATAAGTCCACACTGTTACTTTACTTACATCAATAAGACTAAAGATCAGTTACATAAGAAAGGCTAATCTATTACCCTAAGATCCTGTCATTTGACTTATACGATCTATGCAGCATAACAACGGAGAAAAATGCATAGGTTTTTTTTAGTATCTTGTGTAACAATGCAAGATTATTTTGATGATTTACTCATGTGGTCGTTACAAAAATCGTGCTTCAGATTTATTTTACAACAACGCATACTTCGACACTAGATTGTCAGTCACTTCATTCGTATTCTATTTAATCAACCTCAGTTCGGACAACATATCAATAGCGACGAAACGAGCAGACTAACGTACAGCCAACATTTTTCGCTTGTTTGTGTTCTAATATTAGGTTCGCACCATAAACATCAGTTCAACCTTTTTAATATTGATGTATTGAGGGAAATAATGAATTAGAGTATATCCTTGCAAGATTTCTTTTTCAAGATAAAAAATATCCTCTTTTGCTTCAACAACACATTTCTTCTTTCTTGAAATTTCAGCGGTGCTGATCTAGAAAATTTATTGGAATTAGCTAAGCAGAAGGCTCAAATTGCAAGACAAGATTTTGTTTCACAAGCCAACTTACTTGATGCATTATCTGAGTTACATAAATAAACAATACATCCTATTGTAAATATAATTTCTGAACGAAGAACTTAACTTATACTGGAATATGTATTCCGTTACGGAACATTTAGTATTTTTGCGACTTGTCATACTTTCAGAGCTTACTATATATATATATATATATATATATATATATATATATATATATACTTATAACGACAAAACATCAAAATGGAATATGTATCTAAAATGAATATCAGTTAACTCTTTCACTTTTTTAAATAGATAGGAAAGAACTAGACATAAACTGTACGGATGTATAAGACAGATATTCACTCTATTTATCATCAGTAAAAAGTGTGATTTGCAGTGCTGGACATAAGGAATTTGGTCGCCGTCTTGTTTATCTCTCAACACATTGTGCACCACAGAATAAATTTAAATGTGAAATATTATTTGAAACAATTAGTCCCTTTGATAACTTTCGATGATGCAATGAGAAGACGAAGTTTATCAGAATTATGTAGTTTATTTGCGCAATATATTTCGAACAGCCTGATCACACATGTACTTGTTGAGATATGTTTGTATGAAAACGAATAGGTCAACTAAACAAATTAGATGTAAGCCATAACAAATAAAAAAAATAAAGTACACAAAACCAATGTGACAACCACTCTGGATAATAAATCAGTATTACCAGGGTAGGTTCAATGTAAGGACAAAGTGTTTTCAAACGCATAAAGGCAGTTTCAATTTCCGCATAGCCAAGGCTTCAATTAACCTTAGTATACGTCCTTGAAGGTTTTTATGCAACACTACAAATCCTGACTTGATTTCAACCTTATGACCAATCTCAATCATATGTTTCGGAATGAAGGATGATGTCTGTCTATCCTGTGATCTTAGCTGACCACTACAATTCATTTGTTTCTGCAGCCATTTTCGTATGTGTTCACCCACCTTTAATTGCAAATTACGATTGCTCCTCCCTATGTACGTGTTTTCGCACACATATGTAAATTGATAGATACAATAAGATGTGACAACGTACAACGTTATTTCATTTCTCATTGAAAAAGAATTTAATCTTATGGTACAAAGGCGTACAACAAAGCGGGTCACAAAATTGAGGGACAAATAAAAAGACAGACTTCACGAGCTAGTACTGCCCTTGCTGGGCTATTTGATACTTATGAACCATTTAGTGATTTTGTACAACTTACTGAGTGGTTCACATCTTGTATAAGATAATTTTCCCCGTACCCCACGATTACACTTCATGAAATACCTAGGAGCAATAATTACTCAGATCAAATCCAACGTCATATCAAATGCTCTATTCGGTTTAGAACGCTTCACTACCCTATGAGATACAGCGCAATCATCTACTATCCTATTTCGTCTCGATTAGCATAAACAGCAGTTTTACCACGTCTCGAATTCTTCAATTAACTCTTGAAAACTAGCTAACCCACATTTTTTAAAATTATTTTTTTGTGGATAAGATCTTTGCTCAATAAAATGTCTGTTCGTCTCTCATCAGAATATTTCTACAAATGTTAAAATTCAGAGTGGCATCAACACTAGTATATAGTAGTGTCTTGTATTCTTCGATCATACATGAATGAACAAATCGCGGTCTGAAATTTAGTCGGTACATGGGATTTGAATCTGTTGCTGGAAATATACTTGCACTAGTGAAAACTGAGAACACCATTCATGCACAAAACATTCAATCCAATCCGCTTCTATTAGCATCTGCTAGGGAATGTCTGTTTCTAGTCTGCAGAGAGAGTAATCAATCTATCAACCTGTTTAGTAGATATTTTCATGACCTACTCAAGACTAGTAATCACCAACATTGAGATGGTGGCGCAGATTTGAAGCCCCACCAAAATCAAGATCATTCCCACACTACCTGTAAACGGAATTACAAAGAGTGCTGAATCTTCCTAATCAAATATCTTGATCAGCATTATCTAGACGAATATTGATAATAATTTTTTTCAAATTATGGGAATGCGATAAAAATCTCTTAACATAATTCTTCCTTCAAGATAATTGTCTGTTTGATAGTAATTTCCATCTCGAACTGGTCTTCTGAACATTCAAAGAGCAGTGAATAACTACTTCAACCACAATCACAGCCCTTGATTGGACCTCGGAAGTTTATTTATTGCAACCATAGTTATTGTATCAGATGATTTTTGAAATGCACTTAGCGCGGATCGAGTTCCTCTGCGGATTTCCTTAAATAAGCTATCATCCATAGTTTATTATCGTAGTGGTGTTCATCAGTTTTCTGTTGAAGGCAATTTGCCCCGTCACTTCTAAGGATTTTATTCCCAACTAACGTTGCTAATTTCAGATGACTACTGAACTCGGGCAAAACATTTTACAAAAGAGCGGTTCACAAATATTCCAATACTAATTTCAGTAGTTGATTGTATAATCCACTCGGAATTTGTGTCAGCCATAAAAGGTGATGAAATTTGGACTTACCTAACTGCTGTAAAATTTCTAACCATACAGCATGTCGATGTTCGCTGTCCGACTTAATTCACATAGTAGTTTTCCAACAAAGTCCTTTTATTTTAATCTAGATTAAACAATCACAAAAGGTCTGGAATATAGTCCACAGCAAAAATAATAGTCTTTCCAACTAGGATGTTATTTTAAAACTAGTTGTTGGTTTACTTATGGATTATTGTTGTGAACAGATGATTCCAGAGGCAGTTAGGAATTACCAATTTTGTATACAGAAGCCTATATTGCGTACGATAAAAACCCCTTGAGTAGACTATTCCTATGTTACTATACTTATCAGTAATTGTGAGATGTCCACTGCGTAAAGCCGTAACGTTTTGTAATGTGCCCAAAAATACGAGAGATTCAGTTTACAGAAGCCTGGGATTTACTGACTAATACTGAGATAATTAGGTATGTGGACAACCTAGAGTAACCATCTGTATGTTTTGCGTCTTTCTTACGTTAATGTCTTAAGTGAACACAATGCTTATTTGTTAATGTAATAAAAAGTGAACAGTGATAATCAACTTTATAATCAAAGTTTTATAGGAATTTACAAAAAGATAATTTTGATAAAATAACTCGTAAAAGTGTATTTAGAGATTACAATATACACTTCAACCAAATTATCTTGGAATTATGTTATTAATGGGGAATTAGATCAAAACGTGAGTTTTATGTTAATTCGATAAAAATAAATGATGCTAAAAATTTATGATAAATGATGAGCATTCCGTCAAACATTTTTAAGAGCTAAATATTAGGATAAGAATTGGACAACAGTAAAGAATGAACGACAACAGGCAAGCGTGAAAATGGTATGCTTAATGCATGCACCTGGACAATGTTCCATTCAGTGGTATTAGTACAACGAAAGAGATGAAGCGTCCTCCCGTTTATCATTATAATTTCTCAAAAGTGTATAACGCAATAACTGGGATCAAAATAAAACTGTAAAACAAATGGCGATTCGTAATAATTGCATCCTAGGTGAAAACACGTTCCCGATACTATAATGTTGACATTTTGCATTGGAATGTAGTGTTGTATTGAGAGTTATACGATCAAGCGATCCGAGCAATTGTCTAAACCCAACTAGCTATTGCCGAGTGTCGTTGTCTTATTTTTTCAAAATATTCGAAGTGTTTACGTGCATTTCGAATACTCAGCAAAGTCGCGGAGGGCGCTGAAGGGTTTTGATAAGTATTAAGTTAAAACAATCAACATATAACCGGATTACATCAGATAGAATTCAGTTAAAAATTACTATTTAACTACTATAGTTAAACAAAGATTCTTTTTACTTGACATTTACTTGTGATTATTTACGAAATTTGTAACTATGACAAAATTAGGGACGGTTATAGAAAAGAGAAGTGATCCAAAATCTTTTAGTATACGTTGTGAAGTTTAAATCGACGAAACAAGTTGCCGAATTCCATAATGTCCGTAAAGAGCACAAACACGTTAAGATCTAAATGTTTCAGACTAATATAAACAGAATTAACCAACATATTTACATGCAATAAGTGGTCGGTGACATTCCTCACGGGCTATACATTTGGTATCTAGAGTTCAACTTATGCATAAAACGTAGAATGTGATTAATAAAATCCAGATACAGTCAATAGATGTACATTGACTGAAAGGTGGATAAGATACAAAACTTGATTTTACCAGTTACTGTAAATTCAATGCTTCTGATAACTGTTTAAATAAGGAATATTGTTCATTAAACCCATAAAAGTGAAGCGTGAGATGTCCCTTCCTTTACAAAGAATCAATTGACTCATGATCTCAACCACTGAAATAAATTAATGGTTCATACTGAAACATTTCTGAGCATAACACGTGATAACAACAATGTCGGTTATGATCGTACTTGCAAGTGTATGCATGTCGTCCATCACGTCACTATTGTTAGATTTATATTACAGGTTAGCGATCAAACCCCGGAAAATTACATAAGATTGGTAGACTAGTGTGAAGCTGTGATTAACCAATGATTTGAATTGTTTGGCTGTGAATCGAAGGATTAGGTTGCGCAGATTGCAACCGCGCAAATAAACTCGCACACTTACGTAGTACAACGAAAACTACTTAATATAAATTACCATCGATTAATAAAGAATAAGAATAGTGATAAACGATGAAGCTAAGAAATACTATGAACTCCACAAACATACCGACGAATAAATCAGAGCACACTACCATAATCTATGTATTAGATGTAAAAACGTTAATAAATGCAGCAAAGTACTGATTGTGTAATTCGATCTTCGTGAAATTCGCTGAAACTTTACTACACGAGAGTTTGAATTGTTTCACAATGTTGCTTATCTCTTCAAATCAAAATCATGAAGTCACTATGAGAATTCAATACTGATCACTTACCTATATAGATCAGAATGTGGAAAGCTAGG